TAACTTGTATTACTTAGGATCACAGTCTCACGATCCATCCATTTTCCTATACGTCACTCGTAACTGTCCTTAGTGGCTGAGTAGCTTTCCACTATGTGTAAATACATTTCATTTATCTATTCATCTATTGATGGGCATAGAGGCTGCTTCTGTGTTTTAACAAGTGTACTGCGCTGCTTTAAACACAGCCATCATATACTACACAGAAGTATCTTGGTTCATGAACTTAATTCATTGCACAGTTCTGGAAAAGATGGCCACATTGGTTCAAGAAGAAAGTCCATGGTTGTGTTCCTCACTCGATGCAGAGTTCACAAACAAAAGCACAGTTCTGTCAATCATTTCTGTCTGTGAACCAAACTGACTGTATACAAAAGTAATGGTGAACTGAGGTACCACTGTATAGGAGGACTTCACAGTTTTCAGGGAAGATACCCAAGAGAGGCAACCTTCTATTTCCAGATATTTGAGAAATCTCCATAGTGATTTCCAAAATAGTTGCACTAATTTACTTGATCCATAGCTCTCAATCTGTACCCATGTTAATCCATGTTTGGGCACTTCAGTAGGCATAAAGTCAGAATGCACACTCGAGAGTTTTGTGTTATCCATTTATTTCTTTTTTTATAAGAAACTTTTTGGTTTAAATCTTATATTCTGAGTAAACTACTTTGAAGATAATACACAGAGCAGTAACTATTACTGTTCTCTTATTTATGAAATTTTATATTTTTTAATAAAAACAATCTTAAAAAGGAGAGGACTGTAATATACGTGGTTCTATCCTTTTGTTTCAACATTTCAGTTTAAAAAGAGAAGTAATTACCAAAGATCTCACTTCTAGAAGACCTGGGTTTTCCTTTTTGCTCCTCTTGAGGGAAACAGAACAACAGCTCTATTTCCTCTATCCTAACAAATATTCATGGGTAATACCACCAAGTCTACCTATCCCAGTAGGGATAGAATGTTTTTCTATTTATTTAAGTGTTTTTTCCATAACTCTCAGTATTTCTGCATAAAGGTTTCATAAGGTTTTTTAAAATCTCATTTCTAAGCATTTTATGTATCTGTTGTTCTTGAAATCACTTCCATTATATTTTCTAACTAGTGATTTCCAGGCCACTAATGTATAT